AAAGGCGTGATCAAGTAATAACAATAAAAATCAAGCAACATAATAATAATCATGATAATAATTATAATAGTCATAAATAAAATAATCATCATCAAAATAATAATAATAATAATAATAATAATAATAATAATAATATTCATAATCGTCATAACAATTATAATCATAATCATGTTCATGTTAATATTAAAGCATAACAATAGCAAGATCCTAGGCATGACACTAACAAGATTAATAACAAACCCTAGCATGTCACTAAGCAATAAAAATCAAATCTTTAACCCTAACATGATATTAACATGTATAAATATTAGGAAGAACATAGGAAGCATCGTAGGAATCATAATAAGCATATTTGATATTATAACTTTTCCCTAAACAGGATACTAGGAATATCATAATAACAATATAAACATGATTTCTACATCATAATATCAATTAAAACCATTAAAGCACTTACTTTGATGCCTCATACCTCTTTTTAATAAAAAAATACACACGTTAGTAACTTCAAGGAAAATAATAAACAAACAATTAAATTAAATAATTGAAAGAGAGATTTGGGACCAAACCCTCAGAAATTAAACCTTTCACGTCTAGGGCGAAGGCAACTTCGAATATGGATAGGTGTATCTAAGTCTTACAAATGCGGAATTTTGTATTTGAGAAAAGGCTAGTTTAGAAAAAGAGAGAGAGAGAATAATCAAGAAAATCTTGATGAGAGTTGGTGAATGAAAACGGAGTTTTTACGACGTTATTTATAGAGAAAATCAGCCAAAAAGATAAAATTAACAAAACAGAGCCTGACGCACGAAAACAGAGTTGGCGCCAACATTAGGCTATTGGCGCCAAGCGCCAACACTAGCGCCAGGCGCCAATGCTGGCGCCAGACGCTACAGCTGGCGTTTGGCGCTGATTTCAGAAATTCACACGTTTTTGTTTTTATCATATCTTTTGATCCGAAAGTCTAAATAAGGCATATAATATGTCGTTAAAAAGATCTTAAAGTCTACTTTCCAACCCAATTATAATCAGATTAAAATATTTTGTAGATAAAAAGATATGGCCAAAATAGTCGAAGGATGTCAGTTTTGGATAAAGTTTCATGTCTCATTCATATATTTTTTGTTATAACTCGGATTTAATATTATAATATATCATTGGAAATATAATTTCAAGATCTATCCAACCATATAAAATTTGGATAAATATTATGAGGCACGAAAATAAAATCTAAATATATTCCACTTCGTACAAAATAAGGGTTCTTAAAAGGAGTAGTTTTATTGAATTTCAAACTCTTTAAAACATAATTATCAATCCTAACTCCATTAGGATTTAAAAGAACCTCCTAGAGTATTCTAAAAGACTATAATCAATTCTAATAGCTTTAGGAATGTTAAAGATAACTGAAAATATATTCTTTTATAAGATTCGCCTTACTAATTAATAATAGGCCCTCCTCTAGATCATTAGGCCGCATATAAAAACCAAATCGGGCCCAGTTTAGTATTTTGGCCATAATTTCCTCGATATTCATCGGAATTGGGCTTAATATATCGTTGGAAAGGTCTTTTCAAACCCCATCCAACTACACCATTATTGGATCCTTATCATGGACCAACCAAACTGGATTGACTATTTTCTTAAAATAAGTTTTCAAAAACAGAGAGAAGAGAAAAGAATTAAAACTATCCGCAACACTAGACTTTCCACACTTTCACTTCATTCGATTATGATTCGACGTGAAAGGTAGTCATCACTGGGTTTGGTTTTGGGGAGACACAAATGGGTGTCTACACGAACCAAAAAGGTCGTAATGTGGAAGTATATGTAGATGATACGATAGTAAAGAACAAGGCAAAAAAAAAGATCACATAGATGATTTAAAAGAAACTTTTGCTACTTTACGGCAATATCAGATGAAGCTCAATCCGGAAAAGTGTCTTTGGAGTTCGTTATGGAAAGTTCTTGGGTTTCATGGTTAGTGAACGAGGCATTGACGCAAATCCTGATAAGGTTAACGCCCTCCTTGAAATGAAGCAACCTAAAACAATTCGAGATATACAGAGGTTAACGGGAAGAATGACAGCCTTATTACCACGCTTTATTAGCAAATCAGCAGATAAAGCGCTCCCGTTTTTTGTGGTTCTGCGATAGAATAATCATTTGAATGGGGAAAAGATCAAGCCGATGCCTTGGAGATGGTGAGGAATCATATGAGATTTCTCCCAACAATAGTAAGACCAGAGCAAGGGGAGCGGTTACAATTATACATATCGGCATCGCCAAAAACAGTAGCCTCAGTCCTGCTAGTCGAAAGAGCCAAACAACAAATGCCAATATACTTTGTCAGCCATGTTCTTAATGCAGCTGAGCGACGATATCCTGTGATAGAAAAAATGGCATTTGTTGTCGTCATTGCCGCTAGAAAACTACGCCCTTATTTTGATGCACATCCGATAGAGATCCTTACGAATCACCATTAGAGAAATCATTGCAAAAAATGGATACATCGGGAAGGTTACTAAAATGGGCTGTTGAGTTGTCGGAGTACGAATTGCATTGTAAACCAAGAGTTTCTATAAAAGCGCAAGCCTTGTCAGATTTCGTTGTAGAAACTTCTTATAATGATGAAGAGGAAGAGTTAGGGACGTGGAAAGTATATGTAGATGGGTCAGCAACTTTGATAGGATCTGGAGCCGGAATTGTGATAACAACTCCTGATGGGGGAAACGTTTGAGTACGCTTTAAAATTCAAGTTTAAAGCGACAAATAATGAAGCTGAATATAAGGCGGCAATAACAAGCATTCAACTTTCCATAGCGGCGGACGCTAGGAGACTAATTCTCAAAACTGACTCACAGTTGGTTTCCAGTCAGTTTAGTGGGCAGTATGAATCAAGAGAATCGGCAATGATAAAATATCTGGAAAAGATAAATGGGCTCACAGCTCAGTTGCAGTATTTTGAAGTCCAATTGGTGCCGAGAGCGCAAAACTCACAAGCTGATGCTCTAGCAAAGTTGGCCAGCTCAAGTTTTAACGACCTAGAGAGAACTGTTATGGTGGAATTTCTGAAACATAGAAGTGTAGACGAATCAGCCAAAGATATTCATTCTGTTCAGCTAGGGAATCAATGGTATGACAAAATTCTAACATATCTGTTGACAGAAGCTTTGCCGATAGATAAGGAGGAATCTCGAAAAATCAGAAAAGACAGCGTCTGGTTCATAATATACCAGGGGAAACTTTATAAAAGAGGATTCTCATTGCCATTGCAAAGGTGCATAACGGCCAATGAATCTGCAAGGTTAATAGAAGAAATTCATGAAGGAACTTGTGGAAACCACTTAGGGGCACGAGCTCTTTCAAGGGAAATGACGAGAAGAGGATATTACTGGCCGACAATGAATGAGGATGCTTCTTCTTATGTCAAAAAATGTGAAAAATGTCATAAGTTTGCGCCAGTTCTAAATCAGCCATCGAATGATCTAACGCCGATATTAAACCTAGTCCCGTTTGCTCAATGGGGAATGGACATAGTTGGTCCCTTTCCGTCAGCCACTGGGGGAAGAAAATTTTTACTGGTAGGCATTGATTACTTCACCAAAATGGATCGAAGCAGAGCCGGTAACCACAATATCAGCTGTAGAAGTGAGGAAGTTTATTTGGAAAAATATCTTCACAAGATTTGGCCTTTCGATGGCGATGGTCTTTGACCATGGATCACAATTTGATTGCAAACCTGTAAAAACTTTGCTAGCAATGTATAAGGTCAAATTCGCATATGCGGCAGTATGTCATCCGCAGTCAAACGGCCAAGCAAAAGTAGCCAATAAGCAAATAGTAATGGCAGTAAAGAAAAAGATCAAAAATGTCAAAGGGTTATGGGCAGATTTAATTCCTGAGATCTTATGGGCAAATAGAACAGCAGTCACAGAATCAACAGGAGAATCCCCTTTCCATTTGGTTTTCAGAACAGAAGCCGTCATACCAGCTGAGGTCGGTTTGCCGACATTTAGGGTACAGCATTACTGTGAAGAGCAAAATGATCTACTGTTGAGACAGCAGTTAGATTTTTTGCCAGAAGTCAGAGAAAAGGCAGCAGTTAAGTCAGCCGCATACAAAAACAAAATATCTAGAGCTTATAATAAAAGAGTCAATCATCGACCATTGGCCATCGGAGATTTGGTGTTACGGAGAACAGCGGCAACAGGAAAGGGAAATGAAGATGGTAAGTTAACAGCTAACTGGGAAGGCCCATATCGGATAAGAGATATGGTAATGCTAGGATCGTACTATCTAGAATCAGAGGATGGAAAACCACTAAAGAATGTCTGGAATACGGTAATTCTTAAGACGTATTTTGTGTAAAAAAAAAAAAAAAAGAGTTGTATAATGTAAAAACACTTTTTGTGTATCCCTGGTGATAAATAAAAGTAGACGCAGTGTTATCCATCTTATAACATGCGTATAAAGGCATCCTCTACTTAACAGACCACCGTTAAGTGGGATGGACAACTAAAAACCACTTCCGTGACAATGACGCACTTACAACCTAATCAGTGGTATTCATTATTTCACGAGGTTGTTGGTTCAATATAAATTCTCGACTAAATCATTGTATGGTATGCGCCGACATGAGGCACAACTATAGCGTGATCGCTGATAAGGGTACTTGCGAAACTATTATGTAGTTGCACAAGTGACCAATGATTTACGTTGAATCAGCTACTACTATCTGCAAATAGCCTTTAAGTACATGCATCATAAAAATGATGCTTGCACTAAAAGGGGAGGAGTAAGGGGCTATACCCCAAATTATAACTTATCATCTTTCACAAAAATTGTGATTTGTTAACATACCGGTTAATATGTTATGATTGTTTTACAATTATATATATAAGCATGATGTATGAGTTGTATGCTCAAAACAAATATGATTTTAGGTTGAATGGTTAAAACCGATAAGAGTCGTTAGAACAAAGGCAGTTATAGCATCAACTGAAATTACATAAAAACATAAATGTATTGAAATTATACAGACATTGTTTGGGATAAAAATACCCCCTATATGTGGACCAATGCCACCGCGACACCTGTCCGCAAGCTCGGCGCTCAATGAGCCAATTAGAGCATGACACGTGTCACTCAATGAAAGAAGGGTGAAAATGGGCTCTAAGCCCACAACCCTAGAAACCGTAAAATGATGGGAAGCCAATCTACTTAGGTTAAATAACCTAAGAGGAACATATCCCAATGCTCTATAAATACTGATCTTTACATCAGTTTCGGGGGATCCAATTCTCTCTCCAAGGGCAATGCCCCCCACATTTACTCTCCCTTCTCTCTCTAAAATACATTATTTCGGTCACTGACTTGATCGTAGGAGGCGGACCTCCGGCCCCCCGGGGTCCGTTGTTTTGCAGGTGATCGGGTCGTTTGAGTGTTGCATTGCAAATCTGTCTCCCGAGGGACGTACACACCCTCCATTCGGGTACGTACAAAAAACCCCAAAACAGACATAATGTTGCAAAAGAAACGATGTTTTGGAAAAGCTAAACTGGATCGACAGGCATCACCACAAAAGGGTATATGCCGATAAAATAGCATTGTCAAAAACGCATAGTTTTTTTCAAAAAATATAAAGATAACATAGACTAAAGTAGATAAGGCCCTATAACACAAGAGCCGCAAGATGACGCTGGTGATGACTGCCTGCCCTTTTAAGCTAGTTTGTTCTCAGGCTTAGGAGAGTCTAAAATTTTGGAGTTAGAGATGCCGGCATCGACAGAAGGAGCGAGATTTAGAATATCTTCATCTGAAAACTTCTGCTGCTCAAATCCAGAAGGTGTTTTATGAGCATCATTACCAAACGCCTCCTCAATTTTTGCCCAATCGTCTTTCTTCAAGCCGATAATGTGAGCGGCACATCTCTGAGCAGCAGTCCACCCACTGTCAAAGCGATCTTGCAGTTTGCTGCAAAATTCTGCCGATGATATATAACGGCTAACAGCTCTCTGACGCACTCTAGGTTTTTCGGCTTCCATTTTTTGAAGCTTAGCCTCCAGATCACTGATGGTTGCCTTGGCATTAGAAAGGTCATTTTTCACAGCAAAAAGTTAATTGACAACGACATTCTTCTCTTGAAGCTGAGATTTCAAGTCCTTTATCTCTTCTTTAAGATTCTTCATGTTATCAAATTTCTCGCGCAGAGATTTTAACTCAGCATCATCTTTAGTCTTTATTAGCTTAATTCCGTCAAGGGCTTTCTCGGCATTCTTCAATGCTGTCTCCAGAGATTTTTGGTTAGATATGTTCTGGTGATATTTTTCTTGGTAGAATCTATACATTTCGACCAACTCTATTCCGGAAGCAACTGCCTATACATATATAAGATATATAAAATATAAAAATATGTATATTAGCGTAAAATGAAAAATAGAAATAATAATAAAAGCATAAAGTAAGACGATAACTGCGTAGCCTCATCAGATCATGCATATGCTGAGCAGCGACAGGGCTGATAAGTCCAGATGGCCTGTCAACCGGAGTGGAAACATTTCGCAGAAGCCGATATCCCAAATTTCCACCCCGTAGAGGATCGTCAGTAAAAATGGACTCATTCCGAAAGACGTCCATTTCGGGCCGCCATTGGTCACGGGAACGACCCTCTGGAGCCCTTACTCTCTCTAAGACCTCATCCGGAATCTTACCTTCAACATGTTTGATCCATTGACCACCCCGATAGGTAATGCCAGGAATACTTATGTCGGAGTTGACAGGGTCGACCTGTTGGGGCTCAGCAGAGTTCGGAGCAGGTACCTGATATGAAATAAATAGTAAATAATAATAATAAAAAAAAAACTTTTTTAGCCGTTATACTTGTTAAGGGACAGGAGATAAAGTAAGGTCTTCAAACACCTTCTCGGCATTTATATTGGTTGTTGCCGAAACCACCTGTTCAGGAACAAAAGCTTTGGGGGGCGAAGTGGCCTTTGGCTCTTGAGTGTCGGCCTTAGAACGCTTAGAAGCCGGTTCATCTTCTTTCCTTGTTGAGACGGCAGCAGCAATACCACCGCGTCTATTACCCAGTGAAACTAGACGCCGATTTCTTCTTACATTCTCAACGGCCATCTCCTCTGCCCTTCTTTTAGGAGTGCGAGTAGAGGCACGTGAGCAAAAAGAGGCAAAAGTTTCTAAGGCTGGTCTAGGAGATGGGGGACAGCGGGAAATCACCCTTTTGCCGTCAGGCGATAAGCCGAGAGCTTTCTTGTCTAAGTTTTGTGGACCTACATATACCAAACTTAGTTAGCAAATACAGAGGCTGATAAGTATGTAAAATAATAATAATAATAATAATATATATATATATATATATATATATATATATATATATATATATATATGTAAGTAATAATAAGATAATACCTATGTTAATAATATCAAAACACGAACAAAATAAAGAACGACAATAATATGTAAGGTTAGTACTGGTACGACTGTCGCGTGTCTACCAAAAATAAACCTAACTCTAACCTCCTAAAATGTAGTAGGGTAAACTAGGGTCGATCCCATAGAGAATTGGGTTATTAAACTATAACTTGTGTATGTTAGAAACCCCCGTTTTGAAGAAATAATACTACGGTCTAACAAATAAACTACTAGGAACTATAGGACGAATAAAATACAAAATATAATAAATAAACTACTAAAATTGAAATACAATAAAAATCAAGGATAATAAAATAGGGATCGGAAGATATATATTAGTATTGGACATGAATTGATCACCGAATCAAATAAATCATGCACATGTCTTAATGTTAACCGATGAACACAAATAAGCACTCAACCTCCCTCAAGTGCAAATAAACCAAACAAGATCTTGGGTTATTGTCTAACTAACTAATAATCTAGAACAAGCTCTCTAGACTCGATTAATTAGCAGCATTAAAACAAGGAGATAGTTAACTTAAACCACAAATCTCACAAGCTCGGATTTGTGCAACTCAAAGGATTGATAATCTTAGGTATTATAAAAGGTTTTAGTCACCAATCACACACCTAATTGCTACCAAAGGAAATTAACAAAGACAATTACGTATCACAAGTTAATACTTTAGCAATCAAACTAGTAAACTATACAAAAGATGGCCGGTCTAAAATATAATTCGACTAGTTCATATCAATAAACCAAATTATCAATCCAATCAAGACATAAACATAATACCCAATAATTATAACAATTCTATTCTCACAATACAATAATCCAATGCATAATTTATCTCCCTACCCTTATTTAATCTAGCCTGACATACTAATAGTATAGAATAGAAAAAGAGAAATCATGAAATACATAATATAGCTAATTAACAAAGCTTAATCAATAATGAAACTTATCAAACAAAACTAATTATCCAAACTCCAATACCAACTACAAAACTAGTGCATATAAATAGTAATAAGCAAAATTGTAATACCACTGAAAGTAGACAAGGTACTGACAAAGTGACAATTAGATTCACTTAGATAATTCCACGAAGAGAACAAATTTAGTGCTATTAATTGTTCTTCACCCTTGTTTCAGTCCTTCAATTGCAGTAGGTACTGGTTGTCTCTTCTGATGTACTGCCACCCACAAAACTTAGGTGAATCGTTAAACATCGCCCGCAAATTACCATATAAAGCCCACAAATATGATTTGGTGTGACCATTATGCCCATTTTCTAAAATTGAAATAATCTCGGTTTAAAAAATGTGGAGCCGTACTGGCTCGCCGGGGGAGACCGGAGGGCAGGCCGGAGATGCGGGGGACGCCGGAGGTACGTTGTCGTCGACGGAAAACGAGGTAAGTCACCGTTAAAATTCACGGTTTACCGTCGGAGTGGCTCCGGCGCCTAGGATGGACGCCCAAACCGTAGCCTGGACGTCCAAGCCAGACGCCAGAACCACCAGAGTGGCGTCCAGCCCAGACGCCCAGACCACCAGACTGGCGTCCTGGCCAGGCGCCACTCTTCTGGCTGAGGCGGCCCTGCCAGGCGCCAGTCCAGTGGCTGTGGCAGCCCTGGCAGACGCCACCCTTATAAATTAATTTTTTTTTTTCTTTTTTGATTTTGTTGTTGTTTTTTATTTATTTATTTTTTAAAAAAAAAATCGAAAATGATTTTTTAAAAAAATTCGAAATGGGTTTTTTTTAAAATTAATTTTGAAAATTCGAAATAGGTTTTTTTAAAATTAAGTTTGAAAATTCGAAATGGTATATTTTTAAATTTAGTTTGAAAATTCGAATTGGGTTTTTATAAAAATTAAGTTTGATTATATATAATTATGCTTTTTTTGTGTTAATTCTGTGTAAATATAGAAATTAAATGTATTATCCGTTAAATGTATTTATTGAAATATATAATTGATGCAGGAATATGGTGGAGATGGAAATGATTACAGTGGGATATTTGGACATGATGGTCCATTCGAAGAAGCTCAACAGGCGATTGATTGGGCAAAACAGGTTGCAATTGCAGCTGGATTTTGCTTGGTAGTAGTAACTCATAAATCTCAACGGGATGGTAGAATGGATCGCATTTTGAGATGTGACCGTTATCGCAAAAGAGATGAAAGAGATTTTCGTACAGCCACTCGGTTTGATACAAAGCGGAAAGGTTGTGGGTGTGAGTTCAGAGTAAAGGTTCGACAACTACGGAGTCGTGACGGTTGGGAAGTGATTGGTTACTCTAAATGGGGGTATCACAACCATGAGATGATAGTATATGAAGAGGGTCATCGACAGCTGAGCGGCTTAAGTCCTGCTGCGAAACTAGTTGTGAAAGAAATGAGTGATGCTTAAGTCAAGCCTGCTAAAATATTAGCATCTGTGTTAGAGAAATTTCCAGAAGACCATCCAAACCGAAGACACATCTACAACGTCAGACAGCAACTCAGGTTTGAACGGTCAGAGGGAAGGAACCCTATACAGCAGCTGCTACACCAGGCACAATCACGTGGTTACCTGTTCTGGTTTGATTCTGATGAAGATACAGCGGAGGTGACTCATCTTTTCCTTGTGCATCCTGATTGTGCTGATATCATCAAGTCTTGGCCATTTGTGATTTTGATCGACTCAACGTACAAGACAAACAAGTACAAGTTCCCACTGGTTGAGATCATGGGGATGACTCCAACGAACCAGAACTTTCTGATTGGTCATGCAATTATCAAGGATGAGACGGCTCCAAGTTATTATTGGGTGTTGGAGAAGCTGAGAAACTACATCGGGCCTAATGTTCATCCAGCAGCCATCGTCAGCGACTGTGAGGGAGGTCTCTTTGCCCCCATAGCAGAGCTGTTTCCAGAATCGAACCACTTATTGTGCACATGGCACATCAACAACTGCGTGAAAGTGAAAGCCTACAACCTTTTCAACAAGAATTTGGAAATGGCAGAGAGATTGGTGAATGGTAAGTGGCGGAAGATCCTACAGGCTACCACAGAGGAAGCGTATGAGCGAGCATTGGCTAACTTCAGGGATTCGTACCAGTGGTGTCCGGCACTGGTGGACTATGTGATGCAGCAATGGGTCCCTCACAGGGAAAAGTTTGTCAAATATTGGACAAACCAGGTACTTCATTTTGGGAACACTACAACATGTAGAGTTGAGAGCGCTCATAGAGCTACCAAGGACTGGATTAATTCATCGACCGCTGCTTTGGATACACTGTTCGATAGACTTAACAAGTCAATTGAAACTCAGAAGAACGACATCAGGAACTCTCTAGAGGACTCCAGACGACGACATGGTACGATGTATAGCCATTTTATATTTAAGATTCTCCATGGTCGTGTGTCGCACTACTGCTTGGGGTTGATTCTCACTGAGCTGAACAGGATGAGGGACTTGGCTGACGAAGTGTATGCTCGGTGTGGGTGTGCTATTTCAGTAACTCATGGATTACCTTGCGCATGCACCATTCACCGCGTTATTACAGAAGAAAGGGCGTCGTTACATGTTGATCAGGTCCATTCATTCTGGAGGACGCTTGTTATTGGTGAGCATGCAGACACTCAAACGGCCGACCGTGAACAGGAGGAGTTGGAGCAGTTTCGTTCGATGTACGACCGAGTGTCCTCCAGCCATCCTTCTATTATTCGTGACGCTACTCATGTACTTCATGACATGTTCCACACGTCTACCTTAGATTATGAGGAACCCAAAGGAGTTGACCGTCCTCGAGGTCGACAACGGCGGAACAGGAGTGCGTTTGAGTATATCTGTGGTCTTGGTCGTGGTCGTGCTCGTGGTCGGACATCGTCATCTAGTCGTAGTCAATCTTCATCGTCTGTGAATATGCCCCTGAGAACTGGTACGTTTTGGTTGTTTACATTGCACATAGTTTTAAAGTGTTACTCCTGCCTTCTTAACTGTTTGGACGCCTTGGCTGGACGCCCAGCCAGCGGTGGTGGCGCCAGCTGCAGACGCCGCCACCAGTGGGCTGGCGCCTGGGCTGGACGCCACAGCCACGGCTGCGGCGCCTTGAATAAACGCCACAACCGTGGCTATGGCGTCCAGCCCAGGCGCCAGCCTACTGGTGGCGGCGTCTGCAGCTGGCGCCACCACCGCTGGCTGGGCGTCCAGCCAGGGCGCCCCACCTCCGTCACGGCGGTTTTTCCTTTTTTTTTTTTTTTTTTTACAAATTGTACCTTGCCTCCTTGGGACCTCCTTCCCTCCACCGCCGCCGCCAATTCCTTGCCTTGCCGCCTCGACATTGCCGTTGTTTGAAATTTTTTTTTTTTAGAGAGGTTGAAAGAAGATGAGCGATGAGAGTGTGAGTGATGAGAGTGTGATTGTTTTTTTTTTAGGTCAAGGGCAATATTGTCAAACCAAGTGAATTTTGTGGGCTTTATGTAGTAATTTGTGGGCGATGTTTAACAAATCCCAAACTTAGACCCCCCAAAAAAAACCACCTATCCAAATTTTTCGCCCCCATAATTAACTGATTTCATCCCTATCATCTATTGTTTGATGATCTGTTACCCGCGAGAATCGGTCAAGATTTCCTATAGCAGCTTCCTAGAGAAGATGAACGTGTTTTCCTCTTTTGGGGTTTCTCTGCTTCTTTTAGGGCTGCTGGACATCAAGTCTCTCTTGATGGGCTTCACTTACATCATTAACTTTGGGCTTGATACAAATATGAGTAATCCCAATTTGTGGGGTTTCGTTTCCTTGAATCCCGAGCAGCAATTGAATCCATTTTGATGTCAAAATTCTCTTTCCTAT